TCCCCCCCCTTTTGTCTCCTCTAGCCATGTCTTTTAGACCTCTTCGTTTAGGAGAGACCCCGAACATGTGATGTAAAATTACACTCTATACAGCGTCATTATTAAATATGCATATGCTGAAAAACGCCTCCCCAGGAAATATTATTCAGAGAAATTTGCACTACAGGCTGCAGACGCATGAGCGTCTTCTTTAAGCAGAGACATGCGAGCAGGTCCGTGTTGGTTCTTCGCACTGCAGAGAGAAGCGTGACTGTCCAGCTCCTTCATTCATTTCTAGAGTAATAGAGGACATTTGGGCAAGTTTTCCTCCGAAACACAATCAAACGGCTTGAAATAGCTGCAGCGCTGCTCGGAGGACCGGGCTCGCCTTGTCACGGCCGGCCTGGGGGAGCACTTAGGACAATGCGTTTCAATAATTACACTTCAAGGTGGCCGAGGAGCGGAAAGCTGGAAAAATGGGAATTTAATGCCGGCTTCTCCTCCTGCGGAGGCTCGACGGGGTCGCCGGCGCCCCGGAGAGCAAACAGGGGCCGAGGAAAAGGGGCACCGATTCCGCCTTTCAGACGTCTGCGAAGGAACGCGCGCTCACGCATCGGGCGCCGTTAGCGTCCCGGCTAACAATGTGCGCTCTGGCTTAGAAGACTTAGCTCGAAAAATTATATTTGTTAGCAGTGGCTGTTTGTTGATACGGAGACACCGAGGGGATTTTGAAAATAAACTTCATCCTCCCACTCTGGAGTCCCATCCCATTATGCTGATTCAGGGTGGCACTGTGGCCGTGCGCCGCGTCAGAGATTAAATGTATGAAATTCATTTAAATTAAGTGAGCAGAAGAGATAGGTATGCTAATAGGCTTCTGCCAACTGCAGATGTTTTAATAGAAAATGAAATTTTAATGCTCACTGAATATTTTGATCTATAAAAACTGAATTTCTTGTAGATTTTGTTCATTCATTTTTTGGTGTCTTAGCTGTCGACAGTGAAAAGAAACATTTGCCGCGTTGCTTCATGTCCTGAATCAGAACATGAAGCACAGCGACACACAAACAGGTGACTTCTTCAGCCCGCGGCGCCCAATTAGGAGGCGGCGCCGTTAGATCATCCGTCCCGGTTCCAGCTTTTGATGTCCGCCAGGATTCTTTGAGCTTTGTTATGTCCCCGAGGAGGACCGCTGGTCACTTTACCATCAGATGCCGCTCAGAAACGCGCGAGCGAGGCGCGGCGTGCCACATGCACACTTTACCACACGAGCTGTGTGCTTTTTGCAGACTTTCATTTAGTTATTGCGGGAATTTGAAAAGACGCCAGAGAAAGAAAAAATGTGCAAACTTAAATCTGTGCGCCTCGTTCCGAACTGAGCTGTAGATGCATCTTCCAGGTGAACAGGGAACCCTTTTAACCACGGGGAGTATCCGTAAAACATCGAGACAAGTTTACTAAAACGCAAATGAGACTTTATCTCACGGGTGCAACGAAATCCAGAGTTCCTGGTCCAGTAGCAGCCATTGGCACTGACATTTATCAATGAATTGTGTGAGGGCCGGTGAATGTAGGAGCTACTGGAGGGGAGATCTGTCTCAGTCGATGGTCATACCTGCTTGGGGGTGGTGAGCGTCTGGACGCCGGTTGCCTTGGCGACCATGGTGTGGCTGTTCCCGGGGCTGGGCTGCAGCGACAGGGTCAGGCCGGCGACCCCGTGCACGCGCATCTCCGTGATGGACACCTTGTCGTCCGTGACCGAGAAGGCCGACTCGCCCAGCACGGCGTCCACGGCCAGCGGCGACTCCACCTGCGGGGGGAGAGAGAGAGGGAGAGAGAGAGGGAGAGAGAGCGGAGCAGCTTTTAGCGCCCGGCCAGCCGACAGCAGCTTTATTTGTCTCAGGGAAGCTCATAAAGCCCGTGACAGGCCCATTTGGGACCAAAGTGGCCGGCGCCGTTGTTTGCTCCGGAGCGCCTGGGATCCACGCGCCGATGCCTCTCCGCCTGTCAACCCGGCGAGGAAAACAAACACCGCAGACGGAATCCATCGGCGAGCAGACCGCAGCCTGAGTGTCACCACGTGAAATACCGACGCCGTCTGAAAGGCGCTCTCGCCTCTTCGGGGGTAATTCCAGTCGCCGGGGACCTGAGCGACGCCGCAGCTCTCCGGCAAAGGAGGGTGATAGCATCAATGACGTATAATAATAATTAGTGTTTGTTTAATTATGTATTGTACCGTAGCTGTTAAGTGACCATAATTACTTTCCGATAACATTGATGAACGTAATAAAGATCATGCCGTTTTAATCAGGAGGTTAAATTGGGAATACTCATTAAATACAATAAAGCTGTTGAAAACGAAATGACTTGATCAAGTTTCATTGTATCTTAGAGGTGAAATAGCTACTAAGTTCGACGATCGGAGTTTCTGCATTAAAAGTAGCGGCTGCAGAGCGCCGGAGCTCCGCTGTGCACAAAGTATTCCGCAGTTCATTACGACATGATGACTCGCACCAATTAGCCCGACGGCCGCCGTCGACCTTTGAGTGTCACGCAGCAGCAGGAACGCCATAATGCTCCTTGCTGCCGGCCGCGTTGTGCGAGGTGAGCGGCTCCATGGGAACAATCGACTAGCGGTTGCCAAGCGAATATTGTCCCGGGTGCTTTTGTGCCATTTGTATGTATCTCCATTCAGGAACATGAAGACTTTTGGTTAAAAATCGGACCCATCCAATGGGCCTGAGTGCAGAGACGGGCGCCGGTGGTCACTGCGGCGGTGGTCACTTTGCAGAGACAGCGTCGTGTGGAAGGAAGGAAGCTGCACACGAACACTTGGGGGCCAAAAATAGGAAAAACAAACCTTATGGCAGCAACAAAATCCTGCAGTCAGGTTCCGCTTTTAAACGCATATTGTTTGGATGTGATGGATTAAAGTGCCAGAAAGGAGAGTTATGGTTCACTGGGCCGCACACACACACACACACACACACACACACCCACACACACACAGACACACACACACAGACACACAGTGTGCACGCTGTGGCCTAAGGCCTGGTAGTAAAGGGATGCATAAATAAACTTTAACTTATATAACGTATAAGATAAATAAAGTTTCATGAGGACTCAGTTGCATGATGGACTTACAGCACGGGGGGGGGGTCCGATGGGGCTCTGCATCAGCTTGAATGGGGAACTTTAGATGGGGGGGGGGTGGGAGGGGGGGTAAAGGAAGTGAAGTGACCAGAATAAGACTAAAAAAAAAAACAAGTCAGTTTCTTTATGGAAACCAAACTAATGCGACGAGGTCAGGCTCCGCCGGTGAAAGAAAGTGTTTTCTCACAATTGATTTTCTGCAATTGCTCATTTCGTTCTGCCGTGGCGGCTATTTCACAGGGCAATTAAACCGAAGAAGACAATCTAATGCTATTAAAATCAATACCGGCGACTACGTACAAAATGTCAAAAACACCTTTCAGAAACAAAGTCCATCGTTGCTCGATGGGCTAAACTTGGAGATGTAATCACCGAAAGTAATCTTGTTCTGTGATGGAAACATATTATTTTGTGCGGTTTTTTTCTGAGCTGTCGTGGATTCAATATCAGGGACATTAATAAAAATCCTTTTGTGTGTAAAGGCTCCGGGTTCAGTATCAAAGCTTGAAATCTACCAAAACCCGTCTTTCAGATTCAACAGGTGTCATAATGGAAACGCAGAGTTATAATAACTAAACAAAGAGCACGCGCACATTTGGGGAAATACAAAATGCTTTTCGGAGGGAGAAGAAAACATTTGAGGTGCACAACAGGCCGTTTAAAGGGCGCACATCTGCTTACAGATGCAGAACCTCTCAAACTCCGCTGTTTGAGAGGATTTTACTCGCCAGGTTCTTCCAGCACCCCATCCCGTCCCCATCCCATCCCCATCCCGTCCCCATCCCGTCCCCATCCCGTCCCCATCCCGTCCCCATTCCGTCCCCATCCCGTCCCCATCCCGTCCCCATCCCGTCCCCATCCCTCGGCGAATGGACGGCGACTTAAAAGACATTCATTCAACGCCACTTTTTAAGCTGTCAACGCTCGGCTTCGGTCCGGAGCGAAGAGAGTCCCGCGTCTCAGAATAACCGCCCGCACGGTGATTTGCTCCGCTGGCGCTGACGCAGTCGGCTGGCTGGCTGCTAAAGCTTCACTTTGGGGAAAGAACTTGCTGGCACTCGCAGAAAGAGACGGGAGCTTCTGAGCCGCCGTTTCCAAGATTGTCTCCCCAGACTGCGATCAGCGTGTGATGTTTGCGGCGTATTCCAGGGCGTATTCGCACATCAAGTGCTGCAAATTTACTGCCTCGTTCCTCCCTCAGATTGCCTCATTTTCGGGTTACCGCACCGTTTCCGTGCGAGTGCCTCGCGCGGCGGGTTCGGTCCGGACTGAGGACCCGCTGCCGGCGTTCCATTTACATTGAGGCTCCATTCGGCAGTCGGAGCAAAGCGGGGCAGTAGCAGATCGCATCGACGCGAGGCCTAGTCTTCACACGCTTTCTGGAGTATTTAGCCGGAGAAAGAAGTGAAATAAAACCTTCCACTCGTCCTGAGAGAAGACAAAATAGCCCCAAAAGCCTCAAAATGGGCCGGTTGATGAAAAAACGGTGATGGTGCCCGAGGGGTCCTTCGGTAATAAACCGTATTAAATTGCATTCATAAGAAGAGTTCACCTCGGCGGCTTTGCCCCCGGTTGTTTCTCTACCACCTTTTCCCCGGGACCCATTTGATATTCTGCACACACCTGCAGCGCAACATCATCACTTAAAAACACACCAACTCACTGTCACGCAACTTACAGTAATCGACAGGTCTTTTTTAAACCCCCCCCGAGCTCCCTTTCTCTGCTTCCTCGTTGACCTTCGTCAGTGGGATTAACAGTGACGAGCTCCGACTCACGACATCATCAGCGGCATCTTTCTCCGATACGAGGCCGTCGTTTTCGGCGTCATCAGCAGCCGTCAAATCGCCCGGTGAATTCCTCATCTAACACAAGTCACGGCTGTGGCTGAGTTGTGTCTTTCTGTTCCCTCTGCACAGACACGCACGGCTCTACAGCGCGGAGTAAATATCGGGGGTAATATTTTCCGGTTTGATTAATAATTCTGCAGATTAGACTCCAATCTATCTCCATTCTGCCGCGTTTCCCTCGGACCGGTGGTTTGTGGCCGCAGATTCGAGTTAAATAATATCTGATGGGGGAGTGAACAATGGGTTCTGGAGTCTGTGTTCAGTAATCCTCCTCTGGATTAAACCACCGATTCCCAGCAGGGAGTCCTCCGTCTGGCAGGTAATCACCGGACACGAGAGCTTCTGTCTTTGCGGTTTCACCTTTTAAACCACGGATGTTTTTCTCTATTGTGCCATCGATTAAAACCGGCCGGTGGAACGCGGAGAACGGGAAACGTGCACTTTGTTCGCTCAGTAATCCCCAGCCGGCCTTCCACGGAGGGAGGAATCAAACGCGCTCTACAACGGTGCACCGAGTGATTGTATTCATGACTCCAAAAAACGAATTCATCCTCTGAGAGGCTGGAAATCTCCGCGGGGGGCCCTCGTTGACGTCGTCACCGTTCACTTCCAGAGGCTCCGCGTAATAACACCTCCGTCTATCGATTTCTTGTAATTTTTCATAATTCATCTATAAAGAGATCTTATTTCATGGTGTTTAAAAGAAGAGGCTGTTTAAGTTGCGTTTCATTCGTTCCTTCACACCTACAGCAGGACGCAGCTCCACTTCCCATTTGGAACGATATCAAATATGGCAATATTACATTCTGTCAAACTAATTATTAGACAGTTAGTGGATTTTTACTGCAACATGCAAAGATATGTGCGCTCTCTCAGTGATGCTATGATTTAAATACATGTTGAACACAATAAACTCTGTTCACACTTACAGTTAATATCCTGATGTGTGTCTACGGATTCATTGGTCTATTTACAGGTCACATCTGGTGTTAAATGGATGTAGAATTATTCACCCACTTCCACAAATGATCCATTGCACATTTAAAATGACGGATCGCCGACTTTCCTCCATCAATTGACGCCTCCGTCACGGCGACGCGATGGCCGCAAACTGTGGTCAAAACTCCCGCTTTCCCACTTTAGAAATAAGTTCCGTGTTGTGTTCATAGTTAAGGGGATTCAATTAAATTGAATAGAGAAAAGGTCCAGAACTCCATAATGTCTGCCTGGATTCATGAATAAGTTTACTAACTGAAGTAGCTCTCTGCATAATGTGTTTTCTGTGAAGGACGTTCCAGAGACGTGAGCTTTTCTCACAGCGGTGGCGCCACATTGTAACGTTTCTGTGGCCGATGAGCTCTTGTTCTCCCCGTTCTCACGGGTCGGACGTTGGGCCTTAAAGGGGCGGTTTACCTTCAGCGAGGTGGATCCCAGCTCCAGACCCACCAACACCGTCCGGTCCACCAGCTCGGCTATCCGGGGGTCGCCCACCTTCAGCGAGTCCTGCACCAGGTCCGTGACGTCCACCTGCCAGTCGGGCCCCAGCATGGTGATGACCTGGTCGGTGCCCTCTGTGGAGGTGGTGTGGAACTGGGTGAGCACCTTGACCAGCGCCCGCTGGTACTGCAGCGTGCAGCCGCGGCTCACCCGCCGCTCCTCGTCTTCGTCGTCCGCGTCGCTGTCTCTGGTGCTCCTTCGAGGGGGGAGGGGGGGGAGATAACGGAAAAAGGAGAAGGCATTAAACGTCCTGCCAGGCTGCCACGGGTCACGAAGCCAGCAGCTATTCCGAAACACCCACAAACCCAAACCTGCGACGTGAAGCGATTGGGTTGAAAAACTGGAGGAACCCGGCTGGAGCCTCAGCGAAGAGGCGGCGGGGGCGGCCCGCCCGCTGACAGGGGACACGTCCCGCCCGCTGATCCGAGGGACAGGCGCGCTCGCTGGCCCCCGAGGCCTCATTGGCGCCGAGGCAACAATCGGTCAGCAGCTAAGTGCTCTGCACCGCTCCACCTGTCCCGGCTACTGGGACTGATTATTAATTCATCTTAGCCTGCTTCCTCTCCTCACCTCATGCCGCCGCCGCCGCCGCCAACCCCCCCCGAACCCTATTTAACCTGTTACTAGCAGGAGGAGTTACTTTAGGTAGTTTGTCGGTGTGAATGCTAGTCAGCGGACTCCTCGCTTCTCCGCCGGTTGGTTGCATGTGTTACTTTTAGCTGAAACACCATGGAAACGATTTCCCCGACAGGTTAAGGAGCCACATGCGTTTGATTGTTCGCGCAACGACGCACGGCGGCAATCTGCATCCCGTCCAACGGCAACGCGACAAACAACGTGGAAATGGAACCTGGTTTCACCGCGGCAATTCAGCCATCTGGGGGTCACGGTAACCGTATTTCTTGAACATCAGGAGCATTTTATTAAAAGCAATTTGACGATATGCACCATTTGGTGCTTTTGTATTCATGCAAAGTGAAATCCAAGTCGTAATAAATGTCAAGGGTCCTTTTACCGAACACTCAGACCCGATCTTGTTTTATTTGTAATGTTGTCCACGTGTCCTCTGTGGTCCTCTGAGCCGTTGCACTTAATTAAGTGAGTTGACTGCACAGCCGCCTCAGTCAGAACTAGAGGAGAAAGCAATGACTCTGTCAAACAGAACTCTCGGCTCAGGCCGGAGAAAGTTCACCTCCGGGAGTTCGTACCTGAAAATAAGCTTGATATTTCTTTTTTTTTTTCCTCCCCCAGAAGAATATTGTCTGTTCTTATTAGAGTCTGTGATGCGAGCTGAAGCTCCAGTGCACACGGGCCGCCCGCCCGATTACGCGTTCGTCCCTTTTGTTTTTTTTTCAGAGCGTGTCGCTGGATAACGCAGCCAGTGAGCAATTCCGCTGCACTGTGGCGAAAGGCCCACTGCGGGCCACGGGACCTCGCCCGCGCCGCGGTGCGTCACGCTGCGGCGGAGGAGAAAGCGTGGAGGAGGCGAGGAGGGGGGGGGGGATAGTGTGGGAGGGTTAGGGGTGGCGTAAAGGAGAGTCGACGAGGAGACAATGATTCACGATGTCGGCGTGAAGCAGCTTCGGGGGGGCGGCAGGGGGGACGTCCGGTTGGGGTTTTGGAGCTTTTACTCGCGGTGCCGTGTGAGGCGTGTGCCCGTCGCAGCGTGACAACTGTAAGCAAACAGCGCCCAAGGTCACCGCTGACGGATCCCCGCCAATCCTCGGGATTAAGGTGATTCGTCGTAAATCCCGTTAGGCCCTTTTGTCCTCGGCGCGCCGGCGGTTTGTTGGTCCGCTGGTGCCGTTGTGTTGATGGCAAACGTCCAGGTTGTTGTTTTGGAAGTCAAAAAGACGTCTCAAGTCTCGATACGCAGATTAAAGTCACTCCCAACTTCTTGACCACATCGCGTGAGAACGCCGCGGCCCAATTTGAAACCTGAAAATCTTTGGCGGCCCCCCCAAACCTTTAATCACAACCCTGATCAAAACATAACGATTAAATGACCTTAAGAATTTAACCAAAATCAAAACATCCGCGAGCAAAGGTTCGTCTCCGCGAGGTATTTGCTCGCTTGCGAAACGTGAGCTTCGTTGCTCCGCTGGAAGGAGTTTTCTACGCGCTCGCTGTCGTTCTTTCTGACAGTAAAGTGGAGACGGTGCTTTCAGGGTCCGATCGATGCGGCGAGGCGCGTCCGCTCCCGCCGCCCCCCCCCCCTCGCCATCCACGCCTTAAATCTTCGGCTGCTTCCAGAATAACTTATGTTCCCCCGTTAAGATGGTTCAGCTGCTGTAGAGAAAAGGGCGCCGTCTCTCGCTCTTTAATCTCGGCGAGAACGACAGCTCTGTTTCTCCGACGCGCCCTGAAAGAAGCTCCGTATCTCACGCGCTTGAGCGCCGCTCAGCATCTCGCCCTCGTAGACGAGCTTTGGCGTGTTTGTCAGAGCGCCTTGAGCGCCGTGTACAACCAGTACGGATCAACCGATTAACCAATTGATCCATATATATAAGGCGCTCCGGATTATAAGGCACTGTCGTTTTTTGAGGAAATTAAAGCCTTTTACGTTGGAGCGAGAGCCTTATTGTTTTATTAATCTGTCCGTTTGAATTGTTTGTGCTTCATCAACTAATGTTTCACATAACTAACGTGCCGCATCATAAATATTTTTATATTAATTTCAAACTTTTAAAAATTGAAAATTAAAAAACTTTATTTATTGTAAATGACCTCTCGCGGCCCACCTGCAGTACCTTCGCGGGCCACCGGGGGGCCGCGGCCCACACTTTGGGAATCGCTGCGATAGAGTGTATGACAGCAGCGTGCTGATGATGGGGTTCGGGATGCAGATGCGTCGCCGTGGCAAACAAAGCAAACTCACTTCACTCAACGATGACCATGTGATGAAGTCGAGACAGTAGAACGAGAAGATGTGAAACCACGTGTGATAAATGTGGTGAATTGGTGAGAGGAAGCTGTTGGTTCGGTGATTCATGGACGGCCTTCGGCATCATCAACACTCTGACAGGAACAATTACCGCGGCAATAAGACGAAGGCTGCTTTCTAAAAAAAAACAAAAAACAAATGCTGCAGAATCGATCAAGAGGTGCAAATCAGGTCTCTGGGCGAAGCGGGAGGTCCAGTGGGTCCAGGCGCCACCAGACGATGCTTCTGCAGGCCGACACCACAACCAGAGCTGTCTTCGTCTGCAGATGCTGCAAAAACTACAGAGGAAAGTGCCGAAGAGGACTTTCCCCGATGAGTCCGGGTGACAGCATGCAGGCAGGAGACGCTCGGGTATGAAATATGAGTTTCCAGGTAATTACAATCCGTTCTTGTCGCCGTGGAGGTTGTTTTATGGCTTTTGGCCCGGGTTTACGCCGCCAGCGTACGGACGAATCTACGCGTTCAACTCATCATTCATTTAGTTTGCGACAAACGGCGTGTAGAATCCAGCCGGAGCTCGTCCGCAGAGGCTCACATTAAATACTGCTAGTCGTTTTAAAATAAGTCAATGTTGACTTTTAGCTTCACGCGGGACTCTGGCGGCGGCCCTCCTGTGAGAACCATCGGCACTCCTTCTGCTTTAACAAGCTCGCGCCTTCGCAAAGAAACAACTGAATGGCGTTAAAGTGGGAATCCGAGACACATTTTCATGTAAAAATCAAAAGAAAAATACCAGCTGTGGAGCATCACGGCCCATCGGGGATCCCTGAGAAACACGGCTACGCGGGAGCTTTTCCAAGCACTCATTTGCCAAACCTTCATTCTTCAAAGGCCCCCGTAAACACGCCATTTGTATTCAGGTTGGGTAGAAACGGATCCGGGCGACTCGGCGATGAACTCCAGCGGCGACGACAGCCGCCGTCCGCGTCAGTGTTGATGCTCCCATTAAACCCTCCCTGAATGAAGGGTGGCGCCGCCTGTTTGTTACTGCCGCACGGCGGCACTTTAACGAGCCCCTCCGGTTCCTCCACCTCAGACCACGTCTTAGCTCCTCATCCGACGCCGTCGTATTTCAAACGGCTCATTCATTTTTGATGCCGGGATGTCTTCTGTGGTGAAAACCTTCTACTTATATATTGACATGAAGGCCGAGATGTCTCATTCCATTTTAGAGAATAGGAACACAACGTTTAAAATATGTCCCATTCCTCCGTATCCCTGAATCACCTACTTGTTAGTCCAAAAACATCATTATCTCTCTGAAGGCACGAGCCACATGGGTCCAGGAAAGCTCTTAATCAAAAGTCTTGTTGTCTAAAGTGGGTTCATGGGGGCATGACGCAAGGATGACAAACCTCGTAGATCAAATCCGCACAGCAGAGCCTCATTTCTCAGGGTCCACTTCTGCTTTGCGGCCCGAGGCCGGGGAATCTAATTGGGAGCGAAACCGGCGACTGCACACAAACCGCTGAGTGACAGAGGGAGAGACGGCCGGGCCGCATCTCAAATCTTTCAGGGTGATGGCTTCCACGGTGACCACGCGCCAAAGTCGGCAGGAAAAAAGAAACCAGCGTTGTGTGTGTGTGCGTGTGCGCGCGAGGGGACGGTGCCTCACCTTCGGTCGGGCAGGATGGGAACCCGCCAGCCTTTGATGAAGCTCAGGTTGCGGTCGGAGAGCTCCACCTGGAGGGGCAGCTTGGGCACCCAGACGGTCAGCTCCAGCGGCGCGCTCAGGTGCTCGTAGCTGAAGATCACCCGGGCGCTCATGGACCCCCGCGTCTCCTTCCCGTTGACGAACACGTAGTCGCAGTTCATGGACACCTGGAGCGGATCGGGGGGGGTGGGGGGGGGGTCAGAAGTCAGGGGCCATCTATATGTTAATGGTCACGCCGGCGGCAAAGGTTCTAAGCGGCGCGTGAGGATTTACGGCGCGGACGCCGACGCGGCCGATTCATCACAGAGCGTTTCAAGGTTGACATTTTCAGCAGAGCAAATATGCAGCAAGGACCTCTGAGGTATTTGAATGAGAGGTGGAAGTCTGGGGGGGCGCATAAACCATCGCTGCCAACACTTTCATTTGGTCTTAAAGTAAATGTTAGAGGGGACGTTGATGGAAAAAAGTCCATTTCTCAGGACATCCTTGTTCAAAGTGAGCAAACGTTGCATTAAAATAAGAAATGAACGTCCAAAGCGGACCGATAGCTTTGACAGATAGCTAATAGAAGGTTGTTCTTTTTCACATTAAGGACAAAACCACGTTTTGGAAGAAACCTCTGACTCTGAAGATGATCCATCCATCTTCAAAACCGCTTATCCGTCATACGGGGTCACGCGGGGGGGTCGCGGGGCCGGAGTCAAACCCAGCTAACTCACCCCGGACCACCGCCCACTCACATCCACACAGCTACGGGCCATTTGATCGGAGCACGTGCCTCTGGACTGTGGGAGGAAGCGCCGGAGAACCCGGAGGGGGAACCCACGCAGACACGGGGAGAACGCGCAGACCGCACGCGGGGAAAGAACCCAGGACCTGCTCGCTGTGGGCAGGGGGGAGGTGGGGGGGTTTCAACCGGCGACGTGCAACGGATGCGTGGAAAATCAGCTGCTGCCGTGTTTGGTCAGAATGAAAAATAAAAAGCTCCCCGGCGCCGACGGCACACTGCTCACTGGCTCCGTGCTGCGCGTGCAGTCGAATTAGGGCTTCTCGGTAACCCAGTTACGCGTGTAGTGCAAATTAGGCACGCAGAGCGCGCCCGAACCGACCACCTGGCAGCATAATGATCTATGAACAATTACACGGCCACATAATACAGCGACAACAGCTTCACTGTTTACGGTCCTGAGGGCTGACGGCCCTGAACTCATAACGCCGACGTGCCACATTAATCGACATATTCACCCTTCTCAGGACTCTCGTGTCATTGGATAGAATTTGTGTCACGAAGCAATGGAGCCGGATATGAATTCAATATATGGACATTTTCCCGAAATTAGGCCTTAAGTGCCATTTTTAACTCAAAGCCATTCTTTAGCTTCCCCCGTCCAGGCAGAAATCTCCAGCTCCGAATCGCCGTGAACACTCGCGCCCCTCTAACACTGAATTATTAAGCGCATTGGAAGTGGAGGGCTTTGCTTTGGGCTCCCATTGAAGATTTATCTAGTGGTGGGAGGTGGATGGCATTGTAATCAGAGGACCTAATCTCCCGCAAATGGAGGTCGGGCTGGCCGGTCTTCTCAGGGCTGCGGATTCATCATAACCGGGAGGAGGTCTGGGTAATATGATTCCTCCATCGAGTGTGCGCGTGTGCGTGCGTGGAGACTTCTCAACATGACAGCCTCTCCCTCTGGTTCCCTTAATGCAATTTTTTCGGGGGCTCGACCTCGTTGTGCGTCCGCTCCGCGCGCGTTACTGTTCCGTCCGCTGGCGTGCCGTCTCATCCGCGCCGGGCGAGTTACCGAGGAGGCGCGAGGAGGAGAAGCGACTCGACGCGATGACCCCGGCCACCTTGGTTAATCACAGCGCGGCCGGCCGTGTGCAGAGGGGAGAACATCTGCCTGACGTGTGCTCCCTTCCACCCTAAAGCCGCGCTCGTGCACGCACACGCATGCACACGCATGTGCATGCACGCACACGCCGGGAAAAGGTGGCCTTGCTGCCGTCCTGCTTCATTGCTGCTGATAAACTTGGCCGGCTAATTGCAAGTCAAAGGCAGTTAGCGGCTGCGGGTATCAGCGGCCCCCAGTGGGGGGGGGAGGGGCTCTGCGAGGAGGGCTTTCACACACCCAGCCACCAGCCGCCGCCGCCGCTAATGCGTTGTGGCGTCGTCCCCGGTGCCAGCTGATTGCCCGGGCGGGGACGGATCGCACGTGGTCGCGTGGTGCCGGGTGCAGGGGGGGAAACACCGGGCGGCGTGTTAAGGCTGAGGACCCCCGAGGGGCCCGGCGCACATTCACTCCGCTTAGCCGTGATGTGACCGGCCGGTGGTCATCCGTGATCTCGACAGCGGAGCACATTTGTTCTCTTCATGCGGCGTGAAACGGGTCGCAGGTGCAAAGAGACGGTTCTCACGCCGCGTTCTTTGGTCATTTGGGGAATTAAAACGCTCCTGTCAGTGTGGGGGGATCATATGAGGCCGCTCTTCATTCCCATTAAAAATAACCACTGATCATCCACGGAAATGAGCCTTCCATGTTTCCACTCGGCTGCAGTGCAACGTGGACGTTACGTCACTAACAGCAGATCTAATTGCTTGATTTGAGCCAGACATTTTATACGTTAATTATTGTAGATCATTATTTTACAAAGACTCAGTTTAGTGGTTAATTAAACATGATCTATTGCTGCCAACATGTAAACAAACATGCTTTGGTTATATAACATGTTAGAGTCAAATGTTTATTATTATAATTGGGCTCTTTAATAGTAACCGATCATGAAAATACTAATTCTAACAATAATAAATATATAATAAGAATAATAAATAACGACATTAATAATTGTGTCTTAGTGTGAAATCAAGTGAAATCATTTTTTTGGAAGATTATTATTATCAAAGTCACTAAATTGAGCATTACATTCCATGTCCAGCTTTCAAAGTTTGACTTTTATTCTGTTGGTTCCACAACGCTGGATTCCTATAATGAATAAACTGCTTCCCTCTTTATTAATGCACACGTATTCACAGCTTCATACCACTTATTTATTTTTTCTTAAGTCTTTTTTAAGTCTTTTACTAAAGATAAAGAGTATTCAGACCTCCTGCAGCCGGCGGTCTGCAGCTTCGTGTTGAATGTCTCAACATTGACTCTCCTCTTTCCCTTTGTCTCCGCCTGCTGAGGGACACATTTGTCTCTTTAGCCGCTAAAGGCTACGACATGCTCACTAGTGTCCAGCGGTCTTTATCAGGCGGGACTAAAGTCTCTGACTAGAAGCTCCGATTAAAGTCAGAAATGTGAGCAATGATGTGTGATTACAATTACAAGCTTTTAGTAGAAAGCAGGAAAAGGTTTAAGGGGATGCCGGCTGTGTGGAAGGAACCATTGTAGGATATTATGTGACCGGGTCACAGCGAAGCATCACAGGGTCTCTGGGGAAAAAGCGAAGAAAACAGATGCAGACAAAGGACCCAGAAATAGCTTCCGTGTTGGAGCTGTAATCGTCCTAAAGGTGGTGAAATTAAAACAGCTTGAAAGCCAGAAACGCACCAACTCGGCTTTTATTCCACTCGGCAAGATTACCAATGAAAAGATATCGTCTCCCCCACGTTTCAAAGTCAAAGCGCCCACACACACGACAAAGGACGGACCGGCGAGGAAGAGAAACGGAGCCATCTGATTGGCATTCACAAAACCAGGCGTCCCGCCGCGCCTTTCCCGACAGAAAACACAATTACCCCGGATTTCATTTTTCAAAATTGAAATATTCGCAGAATGAATTGCCCGCTTTTTTTTCTGCCAAACTGGAGTTTTCACTTCGGGATGGCGTGGGGTGTTAAACGAGCTCCGGGTGAAAGCGGACACGCGGCTGGCGTCACCCGGAGCGGTTATGGAGCGCTCCTTGGCGCGATGGACGCGCGCTGCAACCAATCAGACCGCTGCAATCAATCTGCAACCGGCCCCCATTAGCCCGTTGTTGGTGGGATTAATGATGCTTTTGGAAACAATTTGCATGTAATGACAAGTAAAAAAAAAAAAAAAAGAAGAAATCTCCATCTTTTCGTTCATTTCATGTCGCAAAGCGGAGATCTGTTTACTTTAAAGGGCCGTTTGTCCACATTGCACCCGGCCACTGAGGTAGAACTCTGTCCACACCTCGGCCAACGAAAACAGATGGAAGGACGTTATCCGCCCTTCCAAAACCGGGGGTCACGCTCCGTTCACGCGTGGTCCGGATCGGAGCGGTCCAATCGGGACTCGTGCGTTGGGTCCAAGAGGCGTCGGACTCTCGCCAAGGAGACGCCTCGCGCCCACTGCAGACGATCACCGAGGTTCTCTGTGAACCATCAGGCAGCTCAACTTCATCAAACAGACTTTTCACGATTAACTCGGGTCCTTTGATGAATCCGGGGGTTCAAACAAAAAGCTTATTACAGAAATTGCGTTGACGGGTTGATTGGCGTTGCTTTGGGAATATTTATGTTAAATATGCAGCAGAATTGAGAAGTCGTTCTTTAGAAGCGATACGATGTCATGCTCCATGAAATAAGGATATCGTCTGTCCGTTGGGGAACCCAGAACGGTTCAATCGGACAACGTGCTAATGGGGTCTGGCGGACCTTTTGGGGAAAGGGGACTTTGGAACGATGGGCGTCTGTCCTCTGGACAACGAGCTGAGGGACTGTGAGGTCGGCGTTCAGTCGGCCCATTTGGGATTTGGGAATTATAGACCGTAGGGGGGGCGGACAGGCAGAGATCACCTCAGACGTAAATGACAACGGCGGACGCAGGAAGATCGGATTTGGGGAAAATATCACCGGAATCAGCCGTTTCAACCCCTTTAATACGCAGACGTCGTCCCGTTGGAGCGGACGGGAGGAGCCGCGTCTGTGTGCAGGATGTAATGTGCAGACACGGGGGCTTATCTCTGCCTTCAGATGGGTTTATGAGTCACAGTGACCAGTGTGTGTCTGTGGGGGGGGGACGGGGGTGGTCTCTGTTACTTATGGTACTCTGTGACACATTCACAGCCTTTTTCCTCCATCCCTTCTCAGCTTGTACAGTACTTGCCAGTGTGCATTAATGAAGCCTGCTGCACACACACACACACACACACACAGGATTGGCTTGTCTGCTACAGGCTGTTGATGCACACTGCAGTTATTTCCAAAGAAGAGAGCCTCAAGTAACTCAATAAATAAAAGTACCGGCGAAGAGAAAACGACCTCTCGCCGATTTCTGCTCTCAAAGTTGAGAAAGAAAACAGCCTCCGGGGGCCTTGCAGATATCCAAATGGGAAAAACTCCGGGTTTTATTCCCGGGAAGAAGTCTTTGAGCGTCCTGTAGTCGCGAGCAGGAGGTGCAGGAGGTGTGGAACGCTGCCGTGAAGCTTCCCGGTAGTCTGCACCGCTCATCTGAAGCGCCATCAAGCCACGATGCCGTCGGATTAAAGTAGAGCGGCTGTGGATCTTTAATTTGCGTGTCCTCCGGGGGGTTCGGGGGGGGGGCGCTTTATTGAACGGCGGTGACTCGAGCTCTTCCTGGACCTGAGGGGCTCCTTTTAAATTAGCCTCGGCGGTTGGATGGGAGGGTTTACTGAGGCGAGGCCTCTCGATATCACACCGAGTGCGAGAGACGGCGTGCTGAGGCCACACGCCCGATTCCACACCTGTTATTGTTTATTGACAGCGCAACACAACATCAAGTCAGAGCCCAGCGGCGTAGACATTACGTCGACATGTTGTATACTGTTGCATGTTAAAATGTGGGGTCTATTGGGATTCACTCTCTTTGTAGTCTAACAGTAAAAACATGTAACTTTCTTAAACATGTTTGATTTGGGGTTTTTGCTTCAAAAGGCAGAATTCTGAGCAGAAACCCTCAGATGTTTATTTCCCAGTCAGAGAAACACATATATATCAATCAATATCATATATATCATAATATATAATCAATGGTTTGATTTCTTTTCCCTCTGGCATCTATCTTGTATCGAGTCCAGTACGTCAAAGTGAAAAGGTCTTTTCTGGTCTTTTCTGGAGCGATATGATGAAAGTCGCTGTCCTACCGAAGCTGAAGCTCTCCAGACGCGGAGGAGCTGCTTAACCACGAGAAGGAATCCATTAGCCTCACTTGCCGTAATAGTTTTTACTGCGAACAAAAAGCTTTTACCCTCAATATTATTAATTCAGGTGAGTTATATAAAGATTCCCCCCCGTGCAGCTGTCACGAATCGGAAAGTTAGCCGCAGAGACAAAACCGCACAACGTGACGCCCGTTCGCGTCTCCCGGTGAGCTTCCTGTGCAATTATGCAACCTGCCGACAGCACAATCTATTACCGTTGTAATTGACAGGGGGGGGGGATGGTCCCGGCCGCTGTGATCCCACTTTGAATTAATTTAATCAACCGACGAGAGTTGATATGATACTGTGTTCCATCAGCGCGGCTTCCGTGCGAGCGCGAGCGAGACGGGACACCGGACAGCGCCGGGGCCGTCAGGTGAGCGGGGCGGGGCCTCGTCGGCGAGCAGCAGGTGCGTTGCTGCCGGACGGCGTCTAACGGGGGGGGGGGGGGGGGGGGGCTTTCCCCGCTCCCCCGCGGCCACATTGATTCACATGCATGAGTTTTTTTATGATCCATCCATTGAGTTTGGTTGAGGCACGTCGGGGATAATCCAATCACCGGTACATATGGAGCCGCCCGGAATGACGTTTTTATGGCGTCCTGACGCTTGCGACCGCGGAGCGCAGGCCGCTCGCCGGTATTACCGGACGAGTAAGAGGATTAGGTTTCGTGAATTGACATCTTGAGTTTGAGGAAATGAGGTTTACTGCACCTTAACAATGTCTTCATTGGCGGACTTGCACTGCACGAAGGCCGAGACGTCGGTGACGGCTCCATTCATCTCGATGGAGACCATTTTGACGGGAATGGCCACAGTGCGTCCGGTCAGGATGGCCGTGTTGATGATCTCAGTGTCCTACGCAGAGAAAGGAGGAAAAGTGTTCATGAAACAGCGGGAGGGAGGCAGAGATTTTCTTTGATTTCATGTCCTAATGTCCACTTTCAGAAGCATCACCATCGGGCCTCAGGTGAAACCACAACTCATTCCACCGAGACGTCTTTCACCGGATTTCATCAACTGACCTTTTCATTTCCAGTGCGCTGGAAGTCACTGAAATGTGTCTCTGCTTGTGGAAAAGTAATAATCTTAACCTTAAAAAAAAGAAAGAAGAAAGAACCCATTTTCCTTTTTTCAAAAGGATGATGCAAATTTCAATTGTGCAATTTTAAGTCGAGCACATAAGTGCAAATTTGACTTGGACGTTAATGGAGATGCTTTTTTCCTCACAGCGGGAATCTCATAATGGATGGATGCCTCTTGTTAAAATGTCCACAGCGACTTCAGAAACGTGTTCGTGTTCAAACGTTCGTGTGAGAGCAACTCACAAAAACTCCCCTCATTCGCTAAATTCTGTTTCAACCATTTATCCTTTATAAGTTTCGCTTTAATCGCACCAAATAAATACAAAGAGCAAAGAGAATTGCTTAGTTGCTCCCGTTCATGGATCTCTCCATAAAGGCTGAACTCGTACTAAGCAGGATATGGAACCAACATGTGGAGAAACTCTCGAATGAGGGAAAGTGGATGAAAGGTTTTCGATGTTGGGGACTTCTCTTCTACACGTTGCTCAACCAGGATCACACGGCGGTGAATCCGGCTGCTTTGGCACACCGGTAAATATAATCCTCGAATTCTGATGAACAAGGCCAACATCGTCGCGCCATCTGCATCTTTTCTTTTTCTTTTTGAGGGGCACCGGAATGTAACCAGCCAATTAAAAAATACACACCGGGCCTTCAGTTGCAGCTTGTGTCTGTTCATTATTTATTCTTCAAATCTTCAGAGCTGCGAGAGGTTAACAAGCGTTCTCATTGGGGGAACGCGAGTAGGAGAGAGACCGTGTATATCTGCTGAAATCAAAAATTTGCATATTTAAATAACTGCCACCCACAGCTTATCTAAAAGTCTTAATGAGGGTAGAGAGCATGGGACTGCCCCCATCCCCCCCCCCACACACACACACACTCTTTCATGGGGTCCAATTGTTTGTTTATTCACTGAGGGAACAGTGTACACAGACTCGGCGTTCGTGTTCCCTTAAAGGTCGTCGGTTTGATATTCCTGGCATTAATGAAGTATTTTCAGAAGCCCCCCCCCCCCCCCCCGTCGGGGGCCTTCGGAGCTCCTCTGTGCTTTGTGGACATGAAGGGCTGCGTGTTTGTGCACATGAGCCCTCCTGCTCACGCTGCTTCTGCCCAGCGGACCCGAGCGCGGCGCTCAACCTCCCCAATTCCCCCCTCAGCGCTCCCGCGTCAGCAGTTGTCTGGTCTGTTAGCGCCGTTAGCCGCTTTCAGCCAGCGACATGTCGGCGGTTCTATGAAGGAAAGCGGGACTATGTGCACATAAACATTAAGGTAAAGTAGGCATGTAGAGAATGCAAGAGGAACCAGTGTAGAACCTTGGGGAACTCCACTTAGTACATAAATATTAGCAGTGTTTCCTCTGCTAATATATAATGTGCAGACTGATAAAGAAAAAAGGATGCAGAGCTCAGACTTTTGTATTGGGAAACATTATTAGTGAAATATATAGAGTTTAAATAGGCAGCTACTTTCAGATAATACGGTTATCTAAGCTGTCAGGGCCAGTAGATGTGATCTAGTTAAATTAAAACAATTCAACAATAAAATCAAGGGAATTAAACTTTAAACGTGCCCTCCATTCCGCACAAAGTGGAAAATAAGATTTTTTGAAGCTTTGTGAAAGCCGCTATCCCACAGGGATCCTCTCCGAGTCCAATCAGAGCTTCACACGGCCCCATTCTTTGCTTCTCTGTAATGAAATATGCTTTATGAATCCTTTGAAAAATGCTCAGACACAGAGATCATTGTGCTTGATCACCACAGCAAAGTGATTCATTCCGACATTTATTTGACGCAAAATCTGTTCCGTTCAAATCTGTTCATTTGATTTTCGCTACTGAAAACAGGCCGATTCGGACGGTTTATTAAACGTGGGCTCTTCATGAGACCTCTGTGGATAATTGACTGGACTCTGGGGCGAAATTCCTAATTGAAAGACATCACCCCTGAGCTAAACTTGCCGTTTTGGCACCTGGTGAGCATTGCTGCACCAAACACCTCACTTTGACTATTCAAGTTGAGTCTATTTAACACAAAAGTGTAATAATCATCTCCCTAATCATCGTAATAATGTATATATAAACATATATATACTGAATTTAAGTATATGTAACTATTTATGTTCATAGTATCTGTGAAGGTTACAGATGTTAGTAATCTCAGCTCTTCACTCATTCGCAGGATTTATTCAACCAAAAGTGGCGTCTTGTCTGAACCGTGTTTACAAACGGCAGCGAGTTCTTTTACTTGTGGTTCTTGTAATCTGCAGAGGTTCCTCGACGCACGACACGCTGTTTCACACTCAGATGCACTTCTACTCTTTCCACCTGCTTGTAAATAATGTAAGCTCCGCATTTTGCCAGATGTGTATCTTGATGAACGCACGAGGATGTGTGTGTGTGTGTGTGTGTGTGTGTGTGTGTGTGAACATGCGACCTCAAGCTGCGTTGCAACACAGAACTCAATTTCTTATTTAACACCGTGACGCGGCGCAGAGCCGCTAACGGAGTCGGGGGGAAAATCTGGCATAACCGCTGCTCGGCCCCTCAGCGCTCTCTGGACGAGAGGGCTCGGGCTAAACTGTGCGGCGAGCCTTAGGGTTGATTTACCCCCACCCCCCCCCCCCCCCCTTTCCTCCCCAATCCGCGGCGGGTCAAATGCAGCTGGCGCTCAATCTGTGGTTCGCCAACCATGAAACCGCCTCCCTCGTCCTCTTTACGGGCTCCTTTTCCAACGTCTCGCTCCTTCCTCGCAGGTTTCAGTCAAAGGGAACCGCGGTGGGGGGGCGGCTGCTTTGATGCTGAGAACGTGTTTGTCTTTCGGGGACTGAATGAAGCTCTCGTGGCTTTGCATCCACCGCCGACCTTAAAATGCCAGTTATTTAACGACAGAACACCGTGATTCGGCCTTTTGTTACAAAGTCTCACTTACTTAATTTCTGTTTGAAATTCCTCGACCTACCGACCCGTTAAAAGGCGGATTATTTCATCTATGAATGCACGGCGGCCGTCGTTAATCCGGTCTCACGTCACTTTGGTGATCCAGGTCCATTTCGTTGAGGCGGAGAGATAAGCACCAGCTGGGGGGGTCAAACCTCAACTGTCAGCGCAGGCACAGCAGTTATCACTGTTCTTCCATTTAACAATCCGTCATAGTTATTAAATCATTTCTCTTCTCACAAAAATGGCCCCGGGGCCGCGAGCAGCACCTCAGCCCAGCGCCACAGCACCACTGTCGATATTCATATTTCCCACAAGTATCGTTAATATCAGAGCCGCTCTTTCTCCTAAAGTTTACCAACGGGTCCGGCTGCCCGGACGCCACGGAGCCGCTTCCCGTCAGGGTGGAAGTTTATTTGTAAAAAGACGGGCAAATTGAATACAGCTGGGATCAGTCTGAACGGTAGTAAGTTAATACTCATGGTGAGTGAGTGAAGTCATTACTTGATCACCTGGTTGTCCATCACGCACTGAACCCCCGTCCCATTACGCCGCCCAACCACCTGCCGCGACGATGAAGTCGCTCTGAGCTCGGTTATCACCTCATCAATCACGTTTAATGGGCTGCTCCCATTGTTTGACCGTGTCCGTCCTCCTAGCGGAGACGTCCACTTGTTGTTCTGCTACAATTCACAATCCAATTAGTCACCAAAACCAATCTTTGCACGGCGGGTCGGCCAACCTGCGGGACTCCGTCGGGGGGGTGGGAATCAATAAAAGCTGCCAAGTGGTGGAAGTTTGAGGGTCAGTCGGATTCAACATTCCTCTCTTTTGAAGTGAAATGTGACTATTTATATCAGCGCAGTGTGATGCACTCACCTGATGCATTCTGGGGATTCCTCCCTGTAAAAGCGTTCCGACTAGTTCTTTAACAATTTCTCTCTACATTCCAAACAAATGAAGCAACATCTTATTTTTACAGGACTTCCGGTGTCCTTGGAATATTCGGTGTTACGGCCGAGCAGCACAGAGGAGCTCGGCATAAAAGCTCCCGGACTTCCCGCCGTCTCGCTTCAGGACGCTCAATTTACAGGTAAAGAAAAAGTAATTTGGCGGCGATGCTGAACGCGCCCCGGGTACCAGATGCACGCTGCTCGCGCATCTCCAGGGGAGGCGGGGAGCAGGAGGGAAGCGTATGTCGCGGCAGCTGGACGCCGCGCGCAGTCACAACTGCAGCTTAAGTGCGTTTAGTGGAGCTTTTAGATGAAGAAATGCAGTAACGGTGCAAGCGAACGGCGGCGGCGGGGGGGGGGGTTGGGAAGAGCCCCTGACCAAACACGTCTCCCTGAAGGGCCTCAGAGCGACGACGCGGAGCCCCGAACTGCTTCCTGCTCCCTCGTTCCAAAGTCAACAGCTCGCATAGATGTGTGAACTAATGTCTAAGCGTCCTCGCGGGCACGCTGGTCCTCCGTCCGCTCGGTGCTGGAGACGTGGAGCCATGTGAGTAGTTCTTTTATACATCAGCTTTTCACTCTGCACTTCAAACATCATAAAAAGGGCGTTCATGCATGAGGATTATCAGCATCATTAAGGTTTATTTCCTGTATTTTCTGGCTTCTATTCGAGGGAAGCAGGCTGAGGAGCATCTACTCCCACACCGTCCACGTCTTCTGTCTTACTCACCACCACGGGGAATTTTAATGAGGAGACACCTTGGGGGGGGGTGGGGGTTCTTTCCCTTTGTTCCCGTGATCAGTTTACTACCTTCACCAATTGCAGCTTTCGGCGAGTCAAGGGGGTCGATTTGAGTGACGCTGGGCGGCGACGACCCGTCCTGCACTGTGCCGTGATGTTGCTCCCATGAACAAGCGGGTGCAGTCACGAAGAGAGACGTTTAAAGCTGCTGCATCGGGACTAACAACCTGTGAGGATCATTCCGACCTGTGGGTACGAGGCTCAACGTGCAGCGCGGCGTTTTTAGTGCTTCCTGGACGTCCTCGGCGGATAGAAAGGTTGCAGCCTGTCACGTTGGCTTCATGAAGGAGCAGTAACACGTTTCCCCCCCGCTGCTCTTTCCAACGATCCCCTGCGTTTAAGGACTTAACTGTGAAATACTCCTCCAGCCCGTGAAAACACATTGGAGACCAATGCTTTTAAATTTGGGTTATTTTAATCCCATCAATGTTTATGTTTGATTGTGTTGTGATTGTAAAGGGACATCGTTGTTTTGCTGTTAATCATGAAATATGCGATAAAATTGAAAAATTACAAATAATTATATTTTTCTTTGAATGATTTCAGTTACTTCCTTTTTTACTAAATTATAATTGATTTTGTTGTTAGTATTGATTTTATTAGTATTATCAGATCAGTAGAAAACAGACTATATTATAAATACTAATCTCAGGGTTTGGAGCGTTGAAGAAACCCTCCAGGTACAACAAACCCCGGTTCTAGTTTTTTTGGACCACTTTGAATGTCTTTGGACTTTGGACGTCTCTCCGGCGCTCACCATGGCCAGAGGGATGATGGCCTGGATGTCCCGCTGCACCACCGTCAGCTCCGTCACCACCTTCTCCGAGTCGGGGGCCGGGTTCTGGCTCTTGTAGTCGATGTTCCAGTTGATCCTTCTGGTCACCGACAGGCTGGTGAAGTTCTCCATCTCGAAATCCAACTGCATCACCTCCACGTTGCCCAGAACCTCCCTGCCGGACCATGAAAAACAAAAAAAAAAAGACAAGGAAAGAAACATCAGACACAAAAAAACAAGAGTGAAACGAAGCCAGCGCGCGGATACATATTCATGAAAAAGAAACTGTTGACTGGAGAGTTTTAAATGATTAACTGTGCTATTTTGTGAACTGTCGACGCTCAGCAGTTATTTTTAAACTTTTCCTTGAGTTGAACAAAGAGATAATGTATTCATGAAGACTTCAACATGTGACGCAATGCAGCCAAAAGCTTTACAGTCCACCAGAAACGCGTTTTAATATTTACTTTGCTTTATTCAAAGTTATTTTGTGTCTTTGAAGGGGCAGCGTGTTACATAAATACGATTAATCACGGAGGAAAATAACATCACGGCTTTATTGTTTTGTAATGAAATGATTTAAGTCGATCGCAGTTACTCGGAATCAATATCCAATGACGGATAAAAGCCATTAGCTCAGCTTCCGGTGCCGCCGAATCAATGTCGGGCCTCCGGCGGAGCCTCGGCTTCATTCTTTGATGAAATGATTGTCGTGACCTCAGATCTCAGACAGCGAACACGACCGTAAAGGTCACGGCGTGCCGTTCACAGGCCCGACTCCCCTTTTAAAACGCCGCCGTTCGCTCACACGCATTTGATATTTTCCTCGCTGGATGTGAAATGTGAGATGTTCGGGGTTTTTTTTTTAAGGTAAACACGAAAGCTTTAAAGAACCACCAGTGGGTTTGGTAAATTGGATTTTGCCGTCCAGCAATTATGATAAGAGGTTTCGGTTTACACCTTTCCTGATTAAATGAAGTCAAGGTGAAGAAGCTGAAACTCCACAATCTAATCATGCCATCTAATCCCGGAATAGGAATCCTTCCTGCCGGTTAGCAGCGCTCATGGTCAACGCGCCTCTTCGCTGGGGGCCGCGGGAACTCCGCCTCCGCCCGAGAGTCGGCCGCGACGTTTGACTCCCGGCGCTGTGGAGTGTAATGGGAAAATGATATGTGACCCTTTTAAATGCTTCATTTGTATAACCAGTTTATTAGTTGCAAGTGCTTAGATCACAAAGGCCCTGACATAAGAACTGATGTCTCCCACTTGGATTAGATGTTTCCAGCGTCATAGCTGTAGAGATTGAACAAAGTGTTTGTTATGTCTATGACCACCTTTGTTTTTGAATGTTGGGAGAGCAAGGATACGGTCAAAGAGCTGACGTGTCTTACATGGATAAGATGTTCCCAGTATCCTGACTGTAGATACTCAACAAGATGGTTAACGGTTTCTGTTGACGCCACCGATATCTAAGTTTAGGTATAAGAACTGCCTCGATGTGTTGGGAGAAAAAAGGAGGTTCTTGACAGTCTACTGACCACGTAGCTGTTGTGACCCTTTTTCCCTTGCAAGGAAATAAACGGAGAAAAGACATACTTGACTCAGAGCCTTTGATTCTTACTTAACGATTGTCTGTGCAAAATCTTCCACCACAATTTGGTGTCAGAAGTGGGATCGTTTGAAGCTCCGTCGGGACTCCGAGGACGTCCGGGAAGGGGCCACTTCAGGATCCACCAAACGTGATTCTGCCCTATACCTCATCACACTCAGAGAGAGGGGACCGGCGACCAAAAGAGACCTGATTGGCTTCAACACGATCCGATGAGGAAGATTTTCACACGAATCGGGTAAGAAGTTGATATTCTGATTTTCAAACGGGGCTTCCTGAATTATAACGGGTGATAACAGATTACAATGACGGGTATTTAGTACTTTGGGATTTTTTTTTCTCTCTCTTCTTAGAAAATCCAAATTTCGGTTATTTGATTGGGCTTCTAATGATGATAACTTGTCTTTTTATCCGGTTATTTGAAAAATGTGTATAAAATTATAGGAGTAATTGTACAGTATTTCCGGTTCATCAGCATCCAACTTTTTACTGAGGAAGACAGGGAGCAATGTGCGCATTTACGATTGTATTCAGACTAACTATCTGAAAATTGCATAATTGTGACCCTTGACCAAAAAGGGGAAGACAGGGAGCAATTTGCGTATTACGATTGTATTCAGACTAACACTCTGAAAACGCATAATTGTGACCCTTGACCAAAGGGGAAGACAGGGGCAATTGACAATTGTGACCCTTGACCGAAGGGGAAGATAGGAGGGATTTTGAGAGTTCACTGAAATCGCAAAATCTCAGCCCTTGACCTAACAGGAAGACAGGAACAATATCGGGATTTTCGGACAGTAATCTGAGAACAGATATTTGCGCCCTTGACCTATATTTATTAACCAATAGTTCTGGTTGGGTTTTAACTTGTATTTTTCCTATGTAAAAGAAAATCAAGACTTATAGTGACGACTATATTTTAAGTAATAAAAAGTATACTTCACCACGCCTGAAAGATGGGTGGTGTACACGGTAAAGGTAAAAAGGAAATGGGTTCTCCGGAGGGACCCATTGTGGATCTGATGAGAAGGAAATATGGAGATCAATCTCTAGAGTTTTTGCCCGAGTGGTCAAAAGATTTTGGGTTCCCTGCAAATGGTTCTTTCAGTAGAATAAAACTGAACATGTTACGAACAGGCTTAGAGGGAAAAGAGAAGGGTATAAAAACTCAGAGGGTGATAAAAGGCAAAGACTTGGAGGACATTGAGAAACAAAGTAAATGGTTAAAATGGTGGGAGGATGAATGTGAATGTAGAGAAAGGAAACAAATGGCTAAAGAATTGACATGCGCAAAAACCACATTGGTGAAAAAACAGATCCAAATGTTATTGAACAAAATGACCGATGTGCTTCTTCTCCCTTGTATCCGAGTCTCACAGGGGCTGGCGGCCCTCTCCTCAACACATGCCCACCACCGTACCCTGCTTCATCTGCGAACCAGCAACCTTCGTCTGCATGGTCACAAGCTCAAAAAGTTCACTACACCCGGCAGAGGGAGGAAAAGGAAGCGGCAGTGAAAGCAGCACAGGAACGACTCCTTGGCGAAGAGGAGGAAAAGAGACAGGCTGCTCTCCTCACTCGATCTCGCTCTCCAGGAGCAACCGGAGGGGACACTTCTGCCATCAACAAACTGATTGCAGAGCAACCATCTACATCAGATGTTTTCCCCCTCTTCCGACCCAGAGGGAGTTCCCCCGGATGCAAAATCTGTGCTCCAAACCCCAATGATTCAAGTACCAGGACACTCAGGTCCCATACTTGTTTTCCGGCCTTGGACTGATACGGACATTAGAGCTGCAATGGCTCATCTCCCGCCGATACAGCACTCGGGAAGACTGTTTGCTGAAGCATTCATGGACTTCTGTAAGCAATTCCTGCCCAACTTTGCTGAAATTCGACGTGTTCTAATGAGTCACGTGGGTCCGACTCACTACCAGAAGCTCAACCAGCTGGTTGCAGGAGACACCAGTGCGGCCGACGTTGAATGGAGTTCAAATCAAAATAAGCCGTACAGAGACGCACTCACGGCTTTGAGCGACGGCATAAAGACATTGTTCCCTGACAAAGTGGATATGACTCCCATCAACAATACCAAGCAGGCAACGGGTGAGTCCGTCCATGATTACTACCAAAGACTTCTCACAGTGTTTAATCTTAACAGTGGCATTCCACAACCCGCCGCGTTAGGAGACGCTCTGGGGACGTGGGAATCACACCTGAAGAATGCTTTCATGAATGGACTATTGCCCGACATAAAAATGAATGTGCAGCGCTCTGTTGCTGGAATGGAAGACTCGCGACTCGCGGATGTAAAGAAACATGCTGCGCATGCGCAATCCATGGACATAGAGAGAACTGACCACGAGGGGAAAAGGCGCTCACGTCAGATTGAACTCGCCCAACTGACTATGCTCCAAGCTGTCACTCAACTTGCCAGAAACGACCGCCCACGGGATCCCAACCAACGGGGCGGATTCAGGGGGCGTGGTCGGGATATGACGAGGGGACGCTCCTCCTGGAACCAGGAGGGATCACAGCTGTCTCCACCCAATGACTATGATACGTGTTTCCGCTGTGGCGAACAGGGACATTGGCACAAA